AGAAGATCTCTTCGGCACCCACCTTGAGTATTCTGCTTCTGAAGTCTAGTTGAATTCCGTGTGCACCCAAGATGTCCATTCCCAGAATACATTATTTTTATCAGCGTTGATAGCTCGATGTGGAAATTTGATGGTTCTATCGTTATATCCACAACGATTTCCCCGTAGACGGTGACAGCTTCGCCCGTAGCAGCTCTTAGACGACATCTTGAGTTTACAAGTGATTTCCTTCCATCAAAACCACTAATAATGCGCATCTCTTTCCTTCGATCTGTCCAGCTACGTAGACGCTGCTGTTATTACGCCGTAAGGATGTCACGAATATTAGGGGGTTTTGGAAATTACGGGTCGAAGCTGCCCCCTTGTGGTTGACTCTAATTTGACTGTGGCTGCGTGGATAATGATCCTTCTTCAGCAGCCTGCTTGACACGTTTACAAGTTCTCTGGAGGTGGCTCAACTCCCCACAATTCCAACAGCGAACTGGTCTCCTCTTCTTATCCAAGAGGCCCTTGATGGCGTTAATCAAGGTCACATTTGAATCTTGCCTGTTATTCTCTTCTATGTTTTCGCTGCCGTTTATCGCTCGGATTCTTGCTTCTGCCGCGGCTTCGATCTCGAGCGCAGCTGCCAGAGCACTGGTGGGGTATCTCGGTCGTGTCAGGCAAACTGCTTTCTGCATTTCAATATCTCGCAATCCATCCACGAACTGCTAGACATTCCATAATGAACTCGGGGGCTGACCGGTAGGCATATAGTTGACCGATCGGGCTATACATCCATTTCAAATTCTTGTAGGCTCCCGATGGGTCTCTGTCGATGGCTCTTCATTTGGGATTGAAACACTTGCTGAATTTGTTCGGGACCATCCCGCATTTCGAGGCGTTTGACGAGATGATCGTAGTTATCGGCTTCTTCCTCCGAAAGAGCCACTGTATCCGGCCCTACTGTGGTTTCTATCACAGCTCTCCTGCGAGATTGTATCTTCAGTTCATCTGTTTCGAGCTGCAGTTTTTTTTTCAGGTCTTCTATCTGAGTGGCGACTTGAGCTGTTATATTGTCCTGTTGAGCCACAATCAGTTCTTGCTGAGTAGCGATTTGATATTGCTGAGCAGCGATTTGATCTTGCTCAGCAGCAATATGATCTTGGTGGGCGGACACCTCAGCTAGTACCTCTTTCCGTGGGGCCGACATCTGCGCCAATATATCTTCCCGTTGAGCTGATATCTGAGAGGCAACCTGATTTTGCTGTGTAGATATCTATGCCAGAACCTCTTCTCGCTGAGCTGATATCTGAGCCAATACTTCTTGCCATTGAGCTGAGATCTGAGAGGAGATCAGATCTTGCTGACCAGCAATCTGTGTCAGAACCTATTCTTGCTGAGATGATATCTGCGCCGCAATCCTTTCCTGCTGAGTCTCTATCTGGTCTGCCATCTTCTCCTTCTGAGATGCCATCTGATGTGCAATATCCTGTCGTTGAACTGCCATCTGGTCCGAGATCTTGCCTTGCTGAGTCGACATCTCCTCTTGCTGAGCACGCATCTGATACGCGATGTCCTGTAGCTGAGCCGCTATCTGGTCCAAGATATTATTTTGCTGAGCTACCATCTGTTCCGAAATCTGCTGTTGAGACAGCATCTTCTCTTCCTGAGCCGTCATCTGGTCTGTGATATCTTGATGCTGGGCCGTTATCTGTTCCGAGATCCCAGCCAACATCGAGTCCGCTGCAGCTGGTTCCTTCCTGGATCTGGACCGACGCTTTCTATATACTCTTTGAGACGTTGCTGAAGTGTAACCTTGATCCCTGTTGTGTCGAGATATCTCTCTCTTCCAACTCACGTTTCAATAAGCACCACTCTCAACTCGTGTAGTTCCTTCATCGTTACAGTATGTTCACTTCACACTGGATTTATCCCACTTCTGACACCAATTGTTACGTGATTCGGGTGCAGAAGCGAACACGACACTATTTCAAATTAAGGAATACAAATTTCACGTGGTATGACTGTCGTCCTCATCATTGTCTGGGCAGACCAGATACTCCAACTCACTAGATTTTTTCTCCATATTTAGCAGATAATAGTCCTCGACGTTCTCGAATGATCTTCCGTACCCCTCCTTTGTTCTAGAAGCTTCTAGAACGAAATATCTCTCTCTGTAATCGCTCCATCGATTGTTTCGAGATGATTCCAGATTCTTCTGTCAGGTTATGTGTCGCCGTGACACATATTGGGTGAAATACGCTGGTACATGTACATCATTGGAATGTTCGAGAGTGATTCGGGACGCCTGTTACTTATATTTCATTATTCTTCGAAACAAATTTCTAGATTATTCAGTGAATTTTAATATGGTGGAAAATGGCGGTAAGTTGTTGCAAGAAATGCAAGATTTTCAGTTTCCACGTTGGCAAAACTAGTCTCGACAGTCATTCAACTAGTGCCTGCGAGCCTGCAGCGACTGCGGCGTACATCGAAAGTTCTAAAATAGCAAACAGCTGATTCAGGTGTACAGGTTGTCAATTCAATTAGATAAAAAAATGTTCGTTTTTATTTCATCAACAAATGAATGCCCAAAGAAAAATTTGTGAACTCTGCAGCACACTCCCGAGTCCCAATACACTGTTTATAACTTGTCCGCATCATGAAATTCTTTCTTAACTTCAATGAAAAACAAAGTAAATATTTAATGGAAATAATGTTGGCCACTTTTTCAAGTACCTCTGCATTATTGAATTAGTGTAAAACACTTTCATCAAAACTATCAATTCTGGGAAGTAATCTCCTATATTTTCTTGAAACGTCCAACTTTTCATCACTATCTGATGATGATAATTAGATTGCCACTAAGAAATTGGCTTTCACGCTGTTCATTTCCAATGTTTCCGCCATTTTCAAAACTGCACTGACTTCGCACGACCTATTATTAGAGCTATATCGTGCGAGAATTGTTGCACAGAGCTCTTGAACACAGAACATTTGTGAACCAGTTTTCCAATGGAATTCAGAACCCGACATCAGTTTCACCAATGGCATAAAAAATAATATGCACTCAGTGCGAGCAAGTTTTACCAATGGAATTCGCTATTTAGGTTTGTGGAAAAAAATGTAAAATTATTCTTTATCAGCAGGTTGGTTCTGATCACAGATTAACAAACCTTATGTTCTTCTCTACCCAATGACCTCAATTTTCTACCTTGAACGAGAGAGAAGAAAGTTCTCTCTTCTTCCATCTTTCTCTTCAATAATCAATATGGACATGCCACATTGAACTTAATCGTTATTTCGAATTTCATCCATATACCTATAATATATAGCTAATCGCAAGTTGTACCATGCAATTATATGGCTAATTGCAAGTTGTATCAAGCAATTATAGATAATTGCAAGTTATTACTTGCAATTATGGCTAATTGCAAGTTTTAACATGCAATTCTAGATAATTAGCAATTAGCCATAATTGCATATGTTACAACTTGAAATTATCTATAATTGCATGTTACAAAACTTGCAATTATCTTGAATTGCATGTTAAAACTTGTAATTAGTCATAATTGCATGGTACAACTTGGAATTACGAATTAAGATGTACTTTTCTATATCAAAATTAATTTTAAATAGAGTATGGAACTGTCTGCCTCAAGATCACGTGGAAGCTTTCATATTGATATCTTCTGAAATAGTTATTTATGTATCAAGGGCGTAGTGTAGGCATCAGCCGATGCCATTACACGCCAAAAAAATGGCAAAACTGCAGCGTGAAATGTATTTTTTCAACGTGACAATTTAATTTATGTTTGTACATAACATCCCGTGAGCCGCTGTGATTTTATCATTATGACAGCGAAACAATTTTACCTTATCTTTTCCAGCAACAGAACGGAAATTTAACATTTGAATGCATTGAATGCATCATGACGACCAAAACTGTAAAAAAATCTTTGATGGTTTTAATGTCATTTTTTCCCAAACTTGCTTTGTCCGAGAAGTATCTAATCTGTGGAAATGTCCGCGATTTGGAGAGTCTTCGAGTGGAGAAATTTGAAAAACCATTAACAATAATGTAATTTACGTATTCATTTAATTGTCTCACCGAATAACACTCAAAGCATTTTTTTAGGACGAAGTAAACTTGACGTTGAAATCCGATTTTTGTTGCTATTAAGAAATTTGAATTTTCAGGTGAATTTGAAAATCATTTTTACCCACCTTTATGATATGAAACAAAGCTGATGTAAACGCGCCTGTTTTATGTTCATCAGTTTTATTATATTTTGTTTATTGTTCTTGGAATCAAAGAAGTGTATTTATTTTGTTCCATCTATCATTCAACTACTCGACGAAGTCTCGATATTTTTGGTGGTGAATATATTGAGCAGTCGACCTTGAAATTTGAGAAACAAAACTGCAACGCACACTTTTTGACAGGTTTGGCCTGCTTTGGGAAATACGCTCGGCCCGTTTTGTACCTTCAGTCCGGCCCTGGATGAGGAGCTCCGAATTATTTCAATAATATAATAATAGATTCGAAAATCAAGAAGATGAGGAAAATTGATCAATGCATATTTGGAGCAGTGATTGTGGTGCTTAGAGAAGGTTCGCTGAAATAGAGATGTAATGATTCATTTTGTCTGGGAATGAAGATATGAAACCTGTCTTATTTGAAAGAATAATAACAGTCATTCCACGTCATTCCTTGTAGCAACCACCAGGAATCGGTAAGGTTGCAAATAAAACGACACATTCGAGTGATTCCGGAGGCGGAATCGGATAAATAAAACGCAACTTTTATCATTTCTGTGTCGCGCCAAAGAGGTGACTAACCTATATTCTTTGGTCGCGCTTTCAATCTGTCAAAGTTGTGTTGACTGTTGAAAGTAACCTTGGGCACAGCTGGACTGATGGATGCTAGGTGAACTGAGGATATTCATTTGTGAGTATGTATTAATAGTTTCATAGATATTGAAATATAATAATATCAATTTATTGTATTTATAGATCACCAACTATATTAATATTAACGAAATGGCTCAAACAGTACCATTGATTTTACAAGAGGACATTGAACAGGGTGGTAAAGAGTATGAAGAAGGTATAGAAGATGATTTTGCCTACAGAAATAATGTTTCACAAGCAACAAAAGCCATTAGATTGGCTTTTATCCGGAAGGTGTATGGTTTATTGACGATGCAAATATTCTTAACCATACTAATAGCAAGTATCTGCATGTATACACCACCTATAAAAAATTTCGTTCATTCCAATGATTGGATGATGTTGGTAACTTTCTTTGGAAGTATCATACTGCTGTTTGCTCTCCATGTGAAAAGAAGAGAATCCCCAACCAATCTTATACTGCTAGCAGCATTCACTATTGTACAAGCTTATACAATAGGAGTTATTGTTACTTTCTACTCCAAAGATATTGTTTTACAAGCTCTACTCTTGACACTTGTTGTTTTGGGAGGGCTAACACTGTACACATTCCAAACAAAACGTGATTTTTCAGCAATGCATTCTGGGTTATTTGCTGGTTTGTGCATTTTGATTGTTGGAGGATTCATGCAAGTTTTCTTGCAATCATCAGTATTGGAAATTGCAATTTCTTTTGGTGGTGCACTATTGTTTTGTCTTTTTATTGTATTTGATACTCAGATGATTATGAAGACACTTTCTCCTGAGGAATACATTTTGGCAACCATTAACCTTTATATGGATATAATCAACTTATTCATATATATTTTGCGCATTCTACAAGAATTGAACAGGCAATAGTTATTCCAAATGAACATAAATTTGTTGTTTTATGTATTATCATATATTTTATAAAACTATTGAATATAATAATTATCAAGTAATATGAGTTGTGAGTTCTCAAGCCTCTCAAATGTTGCAAACAAAAGTGGCAATATCTCATGCAGCTTCATTGTAAGAAGAAGGATAGAAACCATCTGAAAAGGTTCCTAATAGCATTGAATAAGTAGGCAATAAGATCCATTTCAAGCAAAATTTGCATTTTTTTCCATAATTGAAAACTTGGTGAAACTTCACCTATCATGTGATGGGTTTTTTTTGTAAACATTTTTTGGTACTTATGTATTTTTGTCTGAAAATCTGAAAAACAAGAATTTGATAATGAAAATGTGAACAAACCATTATTTATTAAGATATTTCACTATAAAGTTACAAATTTCACCTTCTTTCACACCTGTCTTTTGGATTGCATTTAGAACCATTTGCCCTTCTTTTTTCATCATTGAACAATTTTTATATTATCACAAAGTACTTCAATGACACATTTGTTTCTATTACATGAGTCAACTAGAAATATGGTTTCCTTGCAATTTATCCATATTCAGTGAAAAGAAGGAAGAATATCATTTGCAATAATGGTGTGTGTAATGTAAATCAAAAACAATCTGTTGACATTTGACATCTTGGTATGATTGTTTACTAAATATGAAAAATTCGCCACAAAAATCATATTTCCTGTTGAATTTTCTATATAAAATCTTGTCATTGAAGTACATCATGAGTATATGAGTATATAAAGTGTCAAATGGCAAAATAAAAAGAGCAAGTAGCTGTAAATGCATCCAACACAGGGGAAAAAAGAAGGCGAAATTTCGAACTTTTTAATGAAATATCTCGATAAATAGTGCTTTGTCCACATTTTCATTATGAAATTCGTGTTTTTCAGACAAAAATACATGAGTACCAAAAAAAATTTTCATAAAAAAAAGTATCACATGATGAGTGCAGTTTTAACAAAAACTTAACCAATGTCATCAGAAGTTTTTCCCAGAAACATACATATACAGGGTATCCGAAAGGTCATGTCGTAAATGATAGACCTGATATGATACTTCATTTAAAAACATGTTTGTCATACTTCCTTCTGGAGTTATTGACCTTGAGAGTTTGAATAAAAAAAAATGAATTTCATGTATCAACTGTTGTCATGGCATCAATTATATTCGGGCAGGTAAATAAACTCATACTAATGCTCCTTTTCCAGGTAAACGGCTTTTCAGTGAAAATGTTATATTCAGGATGGAAAGAACTTTGTTTTTAATGAAGACATTTTTGTCACAGGTGACAAATTTCACGTTTTGCTTCCACCGTTTGAATCCTTCAATTTTTATCTACAAAAATGGTATACTTTATTTTAATCCATATCTTTTACCGTTTCAGAGGAAATCGCATTTTAAAACAAACATTCCAACCGTTTCAGAAGTAATAAAAACTCCTCCTCATACCTCTCCATTTACTAATTTAATGACGTCAGTGAAGACAAAAAATAATCAAAAATTGGTCTCAATATGTGCATCTTGAATTTCAACGCATTTTCTAGTTTCCTAAACATCTGCGTTGTACTCCAGATAACATGTGATGATGATCATCATTTTGGCGTGTAAACATGTATAAGAATTCGATTCGAAAGCTCATCCCTAATATTTTCAGATGTCTTATAGACTAAACATTCAAGATAGCCCCAAAGAAATAAATCAAGTAGATTAAGATCAGGTGACCGAGGTAGCCATAGAAAAAGACCATTGGGAAATGTGATGTTATAATGATCTCTTACAGCTCTGTCGAAATGGGGAGGCCTCGGGGGAGGCGCACCATCGTGCATCAGCCACATATTATCACCTCAAATATTCAAAAGAACCTCTCCTGACAACGGATCTAGATGTTCTTGCAAAAAATTTGAATATTTACATTTAAAGTTCCATTATTGATATAAGATCCTTAATTGAGCAGTTGCGAATTAGTCCTATCCATACATTGATAATAAATGGAGTTGTATCACCTTTGAAACGGTTGGGATGTATGTTTTTAAATGTGGTTTTCTCTAGATAGGTACAAAATATCGATTAAAATGATCGGAGTATACCATTTTTGTAGAAAATAAATAAAGGGATCAAACGGTTAAAGCAAAATGTCAAATTTCTCACCTCTGTCAAAAATGCTTCCATTAAACGGAAAAAATAGTTCTATCCTTTATAACACATAATCAATGAAAAGCCGTTTACGTATGGAAAGGTGCATTAGTATGAATTTATTTACTTGCCCGAATATCATTAATACCATGGCAAACCGTTTGTATACATGAAATTCATTTTTTCATTCTAACTTTCAAGGTCAATAACTCCGTAACGAAGCGCGATATACTTATTCATTATATGAAGTACTAGCATTATTTTAGTTCACTCTACCAGCTCTAAGATTAACGACATGACTATTCCGGACATCCTGTATTTTCCTAAATAAATGTGAAGAAATATTCTAGAAAATATAATTATGTTCTGGACTGCTGCTTTATCGAAAACTTCAGAGTTCCTGGTTCTTTGAACGGAAAATTGCAACAAATAGTATTAAAACAGGTTTGATTAGGGAAACGTCATGGAAGTATTTATCTATAACACTCAATAATATTACAGTTTTTGATCAAAATTCAATTGGGCTATCATGAAAATGAGAAATTTGTAACAATTCAGAATTTCTTTCCACGTCCTGTATGATATGAATATCAATTTATCATGCATCCAAAAATTTGTAACTTGGACTATTCAGAAGCTGCTTTCCAAAAATTTCCAATTTACCTATGAACAGATATTTTTCGTTTATCTTGATTGTTCTTGCACACAAAGGCTGCATAATATACCACCATTGTTTACTCAAAATCTCATTAATCTCGTCACCAACAAGACATACCTAAACAGATTATAAATCCTTTCAATAAAGCAAAGTACTCGGCAAAATACGACATATGAAGAGATATTAATCGCATGACAAAACACAATCAAAGTATATCTTCACTTTTATTGGATCAAAAATAAGCCTAAGATGGCTACATCCTTGTAGCCATCTTAAATAAGCCCCAACTACCTGAATTATTATATGAAAGATTATTCATGAACCAAACCGCCATTGCACATCGAGTCAAAAAGAGACGTTGCACAAACTATCTTTGCCGGAATTGCCCCTGACTTCAGTCGTTACCACCGATAAAACATCAGTGCCCCTGACACAATCTGTGCTATAGAGAAAACGGCGGTCTTCCTTTCAGGGCAAATGAAGTTAATTGATAATTACATCTGAAAACAGTATAACTATAAGCTCGAAATTAGGTTATAGAGGTTTATCCAAATTAGGTCCACCCATTGATAACTATACGTATTGAATTTATAAAATACTATGAGTATTTCCAACTGAAAAAATATCTGAATAACTTCTATATCTACAACTTGAATTACTAACAGATAAAAATATAGTAAGGTTTCTCATGTAAGAAAACTCGAAAACGCGATGTTTATCATTCTAACTTCTGTGACAGCGTTGAAAATACGGCGAATTTGCTTTATTTGAACAATGTTATTTCTTTGACTATTTCACTCATCACATAATCTGACCAATCACAAGCCAGAGACAACATGTGCTCATCGTGTAAACATTATTTGGTCTGACAGCGTTCATGTTTTCAACGATCAAATCAAAGCGTGACAGTTTTACAAAATAGTTTATTTATGTACCAAATTGTCGAGTCTGCAAATTGAAAGCCAAGGCTAGCAATCTCATTCACGCCACAGTCTTATTCACACCTGAAATATATCGGATTTCGTGAATAATTAATTTGACAACAGCAAATGACAGTTGTTATTCCCAACTCACCCTTCGCGCGGATCAGGGTTGCCAGTTCGATTTTTATTTCATCGGTAAATACCTTGTCAAAAATTCATATCTATTTTATGCTTTACGAATTTCAAGAAAGGGTAATGATGAAATATACCTATGACAAATACCTGAACAAACAAAACAAACATTCTCTGAAAATTTATTACTTATTATAAATTTGAAAATACTCAAAAATATCACAAAATATCGTTACATAGGCAGGTACTTATAAGATTTGAGTATATAAAAAAAAAACAGGAACTAATAGTAAAATGAACGTCAAAAATACAAAATAAGTAAAAATATTAAATGTAGGTAAGAAACAAACTGTTATAACACAGATATAGGTATACAAAAATTAATTTGATCTGAATCAGATGAAGTATTGTTCTTTTTTGGATTATACATATCATTATAGTACCTATGTGTTTTAATACTCATTTTGAAAAGTTAATTTAAACATCATTTTTATTTATTTATTTATTTATTTATTGAAGTCATATAGAATAATAACAGGCATAACCCAAAGTGTTATCCAACGGATACAGTTGAGCGTACAGAAAAAAAAATTATACAGATTACAATTTTCGCTTAACCTAACACTACTTCAAGATACATTTGATGTTAGCAATGAAATTAAGTATTTCTCTCTCATATTCGATTTGAATACATGTAGTGAATGATTGAATAACTCAATATCATCGAACTTATCATTGTAAAGTGTCACCATTCTATGTTGGGGAGAGTTATTCCCTAAGTTTGTTCTGCAAAACGTTTCAGAGAAGAGACGAGTATTCCTCAGAGAACGAGTTGGAACATTGAGATATATATTTGACTATTCCCAGTGCCGGTTTTACCAGGGGTCTCTTGGGTGCTATAGCACGAGGCGGCAAAATCTTCAGGGCGGCTATATGAAAATACAACTGCAGCCATTATCTGGATATTTTGATTTTTTACGTGAAAGATTTGATCAATACACTACCCAAACTGAAATTTATGTTAAGACGTGAATCATCCCAAGAGCACAATTAGGAGGAAGTTGTAGATTAGAAATTTTTTGTCGGACTTCCACCTACAAGTCTTGTTCAGAATCATTTGACTTTCTGTTCAAGATAGTATCAGCAGAGGATAGGAATTTGATCTTATTGGTAACGAAACTAAAAAATAGTATGTAGATGATCTGGACAAATTTGTTTCTGACGAATGTTATTCATCTGAAAAAAACAGTTTTCTCTTATAGAGACTAAAGCAGAAACTCCTATTATGGAATTAATCCCAGTTCTACACGAGAATAATGTAATATAATATCTTTCCCCAATATGAATATTTGTTTTAGAAATTTTTGAGCTAACAATTTTGTCTCAACTCAAACAAGATCTACTCGATGAAACTAATGTATAGAGCTTGAGAAGAGTATGATATATAAAGGCTTAGGTACATTGAAGCAAGAGAACACATTTTTGTATTGTTATATACTTTATTTCTGACAGTGACATTATAAGCTTATATCGTCATAGTTACGATATCTATAATGAGGGTCATAACTCCCTTGGGATGTTATAGATGCTATAATTCCCTCTAGCTAAAATTAAATAAGAAATGCTTAGCAACAACCACGCAATAACGTAGCAATAAGGAATCTCCTATTCGCGGTAGTCAAGATCATCATCTGACGTTCTGATGACATTGAAACTATACGGAAAAACATGTCTAACTTTTTTTTTTATCG